CGGGGCAGGCACCAGGCCCGAGCCCTGAGGCTGGGGCCCGGCAGAGACCCGGAGGCCTTGCTTTCCCTGCTGCGCTTTTGATGGAATAAACCGAGCTGGAACCTTCCCTGGCCAGCCTGTGTCTTGACTAAGAATAGGAGCCCTTGACATCGTTTATCAAAAGAATCTCAGCCTGTCTTCCTAAATGCTCTTTCCATCATTATCCCCATTTTGCAGATAAGAAGCTAGAGGCACAGAAAGGTTAAATAGCTCTTAGAGTGAGCACGTGGGGAGCTGGATTCAAATCCTGAGGTTACATTCCAAAACCCACGCTCTTAGTCACTCGGTTAGCGGGGGTGGGGCTTCTTGCCACTCGGGATCACTCCGGGTACCACGTAACGTAACTGCCCGCTCCCCCACCCCAAGAAAAAGAGCAGGTGACGTCGGGGGAGAGATGGGGAAGGGACCCTGACCACCACTGGTCTCGCTCCTCTCCTCCTCTCCTCCGAAGCCTCCCGGCACCCGCTGCCAGCTCCCCATTCTCACTGACCTTCGGATCCCCACAAACTGCGTGTGATGGTCCCCATTTATCGGCTCCCGGAGGAAATAGATGGGCAGGTGATCACTTCCTCCGTTAGGTTCCTTGCTATCCAGGAGCTTGTTTCTGCCCAGTGCTAGCTGCTGCTCGGTAACAAATGTTAGGCGAGCGCCCAGAAGGCAGCTGGCAATGGGGGTGCCCTCGGTCAGTTCATTCATCCAACTTCCTGCTGCGAGAGGAGGGCCTCGGAGAAGTTCTGCATTCCGGTGAGCAATACCAGCCAGTATCTCCAAGGCTGGGAGTAGGGGCTAGTTCATGGCCCAGGAATCAGGGAAGGAAGGCTTCATGGAGAACTGTCACTTGAGTCTGAAAGAATTTTTAAAAATGTATTTTTATTGATTTCAGAGAGAAAAAAAAAAGAGAGAGAAACATCAATGATGAGAGAGAATCGTTGATCAGCTGCCTCCTGCACGTCCCCCACTGGGGACTGAGCCTGCAGCCTGGGCATGTGCTGACTGGGAATTGAACACTCACCTCCTGGTTCATAGGTTAACCTCAACACTGAGCCATGCTTACTGGGCAACTTAAAGAATTTTTAATAATGTATTTTATTGTCCCCTTCCCCTATGCTCATTAGAAAAACCTTAGAAAAAGGTGATAAACCAAGAGAAGAAGTGAATTCACTTCAATTCTTCTACCTAGAAGCAGCCACTCTTCAGGTTTTGGCAAATATTCTCTCTACTCTTTTTTTCTAGCAAAACGTGGTGTTTGTTCAGCAATTACTCTGTCAAACACTTTTGCATAGAATGTTTGATCTGGTCTTCACAGTTCTAAGGGACTTCATTTAACAAAAAGTGAAATCATACAGTAATTGATTCTCAGTAACTGGTAATTGCATTCTTGGAAAGTTTCATACGGATAAAGTTGGAATCTCCCTAGATTCCCACCCCAATCTCCTTGTGTTTTGTAACTTTTTTCATGTGTTTTAATGGGTTCTTTCATTTAGCAATATATTTTGAAAATATTTCCCTGTCACTACAGTCTTCTACAGGGTATCCCCACAAATGTATACACATTTTAACAGCTGATAGCTCAATTGATGTTTCTTTCTTTGCAGACTTAACACATTGGAATTAATAATTATTCAAAGTGTGTATACATTTTTTGATGATTCTACGATAAGGTAACCAATCTCTCCCCTCCCCTGCCTTTTTATTTTTTACTATCATAAACCCTGCTGCATTGAATATCCTTGTAGCTAAATCTTTGCATATATCAGCAATTATTTTCTTAAGGATACATTCTTTTTTTTATTGCTTAAAGTATTACAAAATTAATAATTATTCAAAGTGTGTATACATTTTTTGATGATTCTACGATAAGGTAACCAATCTCTCCCCTCCCCTGCCTTTTTATTTTTTACTATCATAAACCCTGCTGCATTGAATATCCTTGTAGCTAAATCTTTGCATATATCAGCAATTATTTTCTTAAGGATACATTCTTTTTTTTATTGCTTAAAGTATTACAAAGGGCATCACATATGTGTCCCCTCCCCCCAAGGATACATTCTGAGGAGTGTAATTGTTGCATTGATATTAAGGCTTTTGTTTGTTTGCTTTAACAGGTTGCCAAATTCTACATGTGTAGCATTTTTATTAAAGGTCCGATAAAGCATTCCAGGCAGAGAAAATGACATAAGCAGAAGTAAGAAAGTGCAATGTATGTGCATGGTCTAGAGCAGGACATCCAACAATGCTTTCTGCAATGATAGGAATGCTCTGTACCTGCAGCGTCCAGTGTGGTAGCCACTAATCACATGTGGCCACTGACAACTAGAAACGTGGTAAATATGGCTAGGAACTGGGGTTTTACTTTAATTTAAATTCATTTCAATTTCAATAGCCACACGTGGCTAGTGGCTGCCATATTAGATAGTAGAGAGTAAGCTCCTTTCATTCAATCAGGCAAGTAGTTGAACAACTATTGGACCCTTTCCAAGTGCCAGGATTATTTGTGGCGCTGGGAGATCAGCAGTGACAAGACAAAGTCCCTGTCCCCAGGCAACATGGAGAGATGGACAATAAACACAAACGTTCATTTCAGATGTGAAATTTCAGACATTGATGAAAACAGATAAAACCAAGTTGTGAGTACAGTGACTCAGGGTTGCAGAGGTGAGGGTGGACTTCATGGGCTTCTGGGGTCTCAGTTGAGCTGGGACCTAAATGACAAGAAGTCAGACCTGTGAAGAGCTGCGGGAAAAGCATTCTAGGCAGAGGGAACAGCAAGTGCAAAGGGTTTGAGCCTGGCATGTTGGGAACAGAAGGCTGGAGCCCAACAGGGTGGGAGGGGTTGGGGATGGGTCACCCCGAGGAAGGCAGGGCCCTGGCCAGTTCTCTGTGGAGAACTGAAACGGAGGCTGACTCAGCCTAGTGCACCCAGAATATTTCTGCAGAGATACAGTAACCCCCTCCAACCCCAATAATCTGCAACCGTGGGGAAGAGGGTTGGGCAGGAACATCCGACCAACAGAGAGCCTTGCTGTCATGCGTCAGATGACTTGGGAAGGAGTCAGCCACCTTCCTGCCTGGTCTGTGACACCCATTTCAAAACTGGGTTGTTTTTAGATGGTATCACTTGTTCCTGGAACTTCTATGACCCCTCTCTTCTTGCTCCATAACACTAGGAAACATGCTTCTCTGAGCAAAGGGAAAACAAATCTTTAGTACTTCTGAAGTGCCAGGAATGCTTTCGGCACTCCCACCCATATCTTATGAGGGGTCTGGTTTCTCCACATCATTGCCAACGTTTGGTGCTACGACTGGTTTTTATTTTAGCCATCCTGATAGGGGTGTAGTGATATCTCATTATGGTTCTCTTTGCACCTCCTTAATGGCTAGGGATGCTAAACATCTTTTCAGGGGCTCCTTGCCATCTGTACATCTGTTTGATAATGCCTGTTCATAATTTTTGCCATTTATAATTGATCTAGAGGCCCAGTGCATGAAATTCGTGCGGGGGGGGGTGTCCCTCAGCCCAGCCTGCGCACTCTCCAATATGAGACCCCCCACCGGGATCGGGCCTAAATGGGCAGTAGGACATCCCTTTCACGGCCCGGATTGGAGAGGGTGCAGGCTGGGCTGAAGGACACACACACCCCCCTCCTGTGAATGAATTTCATTCACCAGGCCTCTAGTCATGTATAATAAAAGCATAATATGCTAATTAGACCGGACAGCTGAACAACATTCCAGATGTCATTCCAGATTTCCTTCCAGATGAAGCCACCATGGCGGGG